ATTTTAAATACCAGATTCATTTGAGTTATAAAAATAAATACTTTCACCTGTATTTTAGGTGAAAGACAACACTTTTAATAGAGAAGAAAAGCTATTTAGATCTTTAGAAAAGACCGTGAGGCACTGTGTGAAGAACATTTCATTCTGTCTTCAAAACATACAGGTAGGTGAGACCCAACTGTTTTCAATTGTTTCTACAAGCATATTGATGGCAATGTTTATTAAGAAGAATAAATGTGACCGTTATATTCAATTATATGATGACACCTACTGTATTAAATTTGGAAGGCTGCAAATTGCTGGTGAAGGAAGCCAATATAAAGACTCAGGTTTTGTTCTTTGTTACCTTACCTGCGCCCCCTTCCCCCATCCAAATTGCCAGATTGTGGAACATTTGCTCACATGATTGCCATGTGGTGTTGGACCATCAGCATACTTTCTTTATACTAGAGATAAGTTCATTAATGCAAAATTGCAGGCAAAGCAAAAATTTTCTTTGTTTATTTGTCTGATTTTCCTACCATACCTCTTTCTAGTACCTAAAACATATATTTGCAAATTTAAGAGTAGAACTGAAAGAAAAAGAAAATCAAAGGGGGATATAAATGAAATTAGAGAAGTTATAAAGTAAAAAGTACATAACATAAAGGCCATTAAAAAAAGAAAAAAAACCATAGCTGGGTCTCCAATTTAGCTGTCTGCTATCTAGCAGCCAGCCCCACAAAAGGACATGGACAATTCTAAGGCAAACTGAGCACCTCTAGATATTTTATAACCAGTGTTTTGTAATGCCTCTTGATAGCTCAGAATCAAATTAATAGATAATTTAAGTTTTCCTAAACAATATCTTGACAACGGTCACAACAATGAGACATAGTAGAATTACATGTAACTTGGTTAATAAATGGTCCCCTCCCATTTTCTAGTTTTCTCTCAGATATTTGTTTTTGGACACCGATGTTTGCATGCTTAAATATCACAGTACCAAAGGCTGACAGGCACAATGATTTGGAGACAAAGTTCTATGCTATGTAACCAACAAGCCACATTTTTTTCTTATTTATTAACAGATGCAAAGCCTGATTTTACAATTGGGTTTACTAATCTCGTCCAAAAGCACTGCCTTCCGTGAAAAAGAAAAAAAATTGTTGTAACAGCCAGAGGGCAGTGGGAACCCTATCCTTGACATATAGGAATAGATATCTCGTGAGAACATCTACAGAAAAGTCTATTTCCACCAACTGATTCAACAAAAGTATGAGCATCTTCTCTTAAAGAGAGCATTAAATTAAGGAAAACTGAAGACATAAATCTAACAAGTGTGATTTTTAACATAGGGGATCTATAAGAATTGAATGCTGAAGAATAGCCAGTGAGAGAATTTAAGACAGACTCCACTTAATAAAAGAGAGTGTCATACAGAGCAACGTGAGAAAGTGACTAAAGGAGAAAAGAAAATAGATTGTTACACATAAACCGATTTTTTTTTCACTTTTTTTTTTCTTTCGTATCTCTCAGTGGTTAACAGAGGTTTATAATAATGAAGTGCACATTTGGGATATTCTTAACTATACTGACTTCAGAACTTTGCCCTTTTTGTAACTTTGTTCTTGGGTTTCAGGATGCCATGCCATTAGCTCTGCAGAGTGTAATGGAGCTCCAGGAGATTTCATGCAGCAAAGATGAGGAGGAGAGGGGCTCTTTGGGGGCTCCGGGTAATGCCCCAAATCCTTGCGATGACTTTGTAAGTTATTTATATTCACAGATAAAAGAAGAGCTGCTCTTCATTTATTTTTCTGAAGTTAGAAATAAAACATATACTAAAGTAAGTACTAATGTCAAAATTAGTAAATTTAAACAGAATATTTTTTTATCATTAACTATTTTCAAGTGGATTAGTGAGGATTTTACTATAATCAAAATTTCAGAGGGTCTCAGACTATGTTTCTAGGGGTAGTCGGTGTCTGAGCAGTTTTTAATTTAAGTCTGCATGTGAGGTAGCAAGCATTTATTAAGTTAAAAGCTGTGATTGTTTTAAAGGAATCTCTGGAAAAGCCCAGAGTCCTTACAAGAGGAGGGAAGCCCCCTCTAAAGATGGGAATTTGTTAGCACGCTCTATGCTGGAGCGTAAAGTCTTCCTATTGAGAAAGGGCTTTTACGTAAATCAAATCTTGTGTCTTCTGTTCTGCGGTAAATATTTGTTTTCTAAGAGTTCTATAAAATACACAGAATCACAAAACATAGCTTGAGAATCATACAAAAAATATGCTTAAGCCTAGAAAATATTTGGGTGGCAAATTAGTCTGAGTAATACTGATTTTAACTTAGCATCTTTGGCTTCATAGGTATTATTTTGTAATAGTATTTCAAGTATTACATAAAAAATATAAAAGTCTCCTTTACCATCTTGAAGGTCCTCGAAAGCGGCATCTTTGTGTTGGCATTATTGGCATTTGGGGTCAGACAAATCTTCATTTGGTGGCCCTTGTGTAGAAGGGTGTTTAGCATTGTTGCATATTGGGCTGTAAACCTCAGTCGTGTCCCTCCATTTCAAGTCGTGACGTCCAATGAATAGCCCCACATATTTCCAAATCTTAGGATGCGATACAGCCTCCGCTACAGTAAAAAAACACTGAGAAGCAACTCTTTTCTCTGGTAGGAGAAAATGGAAATTCAAGATTACATCTGAACTAAGATTTAAATAGATTAGATAAATGAGGGGGAAAGAGAAGTTGTTATGACATGTTAAATGAAAAAAATGTGGCTAGTACTTACACATTTTCTTGGCTTAATTACAGAGAGCACATTTTAGAAAAGTCATTAAGGGTTTGCTCTTTAGTTTAATTTCAATTTATTAACTAAGTCAATAAATACTATCGAGCACTATGTAAAAAGATGATATATAGCTTCTCCCTCATCAAGCATGCTCCAGAATTTGAGACAAGAAGAGACAAGGTCCTTCCTGACCTTGCATAAAACCACAAGATGATACATTAGGATAATTTTAAATAATTATCAGAAAGCTCGACATAAAAGCAACTTTTTTATGGATAATGCATATTCAACTCTTTTTAAAAATCAAATATTAAGAGCTTAGAATCTATCTAAAGGCACAGTAGTTGTTTTTATCTATCCACAAGAGATACTTACCTACATATTTAGGACAAGGTATTAAAATAAAATCTGATTCTTTGTTCCAACCACAGTTCTGATGTCCAGGAGAGTTGGTTCATGTCTATGGGTCACAGGACATATATATTGTAATTATATTGTAATAATGTAACTAGATTAACTGTAGAGTCTGATCACGTCATAAACACAGCAATTTATCCCAGAACAATAAACAGATTCTTTGCTTAGCCAAAGGACTCATTAAACCGTCTGCAGGTGTATATTGATTATTTTATAAGTTAGACATCAAATTTAATCTGTGCTGGCTACTGCTGGTGCCAATAAGAGATTGGTTTCTCCTGTCTTCTAGATTTCCCAGGAGTTCAGACAAAGTTACCAGAGGCCATTGAAATTAATTAATACCAGCTGCCACTCAGATCTGATTCCCTAGGACATCTTTTGGGGTACAAAAGGAAACCTGCTTCCAAATTGCCATAACATAAGCATGTAACCCAAGCATGTATGATAAAGGGTGAAGTTAGGCAGTCAGCAAACATGAGATATGATCACACTTCAGGATAGGAGAGGAAAGAGAAATAGAAATTAAATCTAGGGTCCTCAGGGTCTGGCATGGGGTTAGGCATTAATATGAAGTTCATTTTCAATGACTCAGATCTCAAAATGTAGCAATTTTTGACACAATCATAATAAGTTTAATCCTTTAGTATATTTAAGGAGGAAACAATTACTCTGTGGTCATTTCCGTTACAGGAGTAGAATACTTATAACAAGGCTGCTATTTGTATAGAGGATACAATTCCACTACCAAAATTAGCCTCCAGGGTAGTCAGGAAATTGAGGCAGATGTGGGAGGAAGAGGACATAGTCTTTTCTAAAACCAACTATCTTCTTTCTATTGTTAGCAAAACGATTTGGTGACTCACTTACACAGTCTTGGCAGTCAAAGGCTAGAGATCAGCCCCTGTTCCCCACCATGTGCTGGCTCTGAGATTAGAAAGAAGAGAAAGGGGGAAATGTTGAAGGAAGTGACCCCAATGACAAACCACTGGCTGTAGAGAGAAAGGTGGAGTATATTTTGGGTGTGCAGACTTCCACTTTTATATTCTTCTTCCTTCCAGTCTTTCAGGTTCAATGTTAGAGTCGAGTCGCTGTTTGAAGTTCTTGAACAGGTTTAGCTAGATGAAAAAATGACCGCATCCCCTTTAACTTGGCTAGATACTTTTCTGTCTCCCGCTGTGCTGCTGCAGGGACTAAGTAAGCCCACTGATAACAGCACTGGACATGGTATTGTTCATTCCTCGCTCTGTGACGAGATTGTTTTCTCTTTTGGCAGGTAGCTCATTTACAGAAACTCGTCCTGACACCCCTGTCAGCCCTGCTGTCCCTGTTCCCAGGGCCTCAGAAGCTCATCCAGAAACGCTATGACAAACTGCTGGACTACAACAGCTACCTGCAGCAAGAGGCAGGAGATGAGTCGAACTTGGCCAAAAAGGAATATGAGGCCCTCAACGCCCAGCTTGTGGAAGAGCTCCAGGTGTTCAACCAGGCTGCACGGAAGATTCTGTCCAACTGCCTGTGCAGTTTCATCACCCTCCTCAGGGACCTGATGCTCGTAGCACAGCAGCTTTACTCCACAGTGCAGCCGGTAAGCACAGCTCCAGCACCTGGCCACCTCGGCCTACAGGATCTGTCAGAAACCATACCCATGCAAAACAAGCCTGTCAGTGTGTGCGAGTGTACTGCGTATGTGCGTGTGTGTGTATGTGGTTTCCACTTTAACTGAAGCCTGTCAGTCTTCTGCTCTCCACCACAGGAAGCTAAAAGTTTCGTAGTTTGGGTTTGCTATAACTTCCACACTGTAGTTCTCCTTGGAGATTCCCTTTCAAACACCAAACCCTTCAGCTTTGCTCCGCTCATTGGTGGGACCAACGTTGCGCCACCTGCCTGATGCTGTGTTGAAGCTGATCAATTTATATTTTGTGTTCTCTTCCCATTTTACAGCTTTTAAATTGTTAAGCCTGAGTAAGATGTGGATCCCAAAAGGAAGACACATCAGTGTAATGACAGAAGTAGAATGACTGTCTAATGTCTTCATTTTGCTTTTGTTTTTTCCAAGGAAGAGAAGTCGTGTGTGTGTGTCTCATTTAGCCTTTCGTTAAGATACGGTTTTATAATTATTTCTTGAAAAGTAAGAAGGATGTTTACAACCTATTATCAGCTGAAAATCAGCTTGGTTTCTTGGCCCTTCGTTTCAAGTGTATTAGTTCTCACTCAGCTGATTAGATATTTAATGGGCAACATTTAGAGGAAAACAAATTTCCCCTACTTTATTTTTTACTGTGTCTCTAACTTTTAACTTATTCTTTGAATTATTTTAAGTTGAATAAACAGTTGCTAACTTACATGGGTCAAAAGGCGAAACTATATAAAAATGTATAAGCAGTCATATACCCGCCTCTGTCGCCTGACCATCCCATCTCCTGCTCCCACCCCTACGGTTATTAGTTTATTTTTATTTACTTAGGCCTCCTTTGTATCGGTAAAAGTAAATGCAAATATATGTTGTTAT